GCGGCGACGGGCAGGTGACGAAGAGCGGGCGCATCGGTGCGGGGCGGCGGGGGGGGATGCGGGGACAACAATTGGAGGGGGCGGCGGGAGGACGGGGCGAGGGGCGAGTGGGGGAGGCGGGAGGCGGGAGGCGGAACGGGTGCGCGGCGAGCGGTGATTGAAGGACGCAAAGCAGGCGCGCACGGTGTGGCCGAACCGCGGCGCGCGGCGCGCAGGGCGCTTCCGCGTCGCGCAGCTACGCTTCCGACGCGGCGGCAGGCGCCGGATCTCCGCCACGCGCGCGCGGCGCGGGGTGGCGACGCGTTACCTTCGCGCGCATACAGTAGATACAGTACCAAGGGTACAGTGGTGCGGCGCGCGACACGACACCTTCGGTCACGGCGTGGCGCGCAAGGGCGCGCGCGTGGGCACGCGTAGGCGCGCGTATGATAGCGCGCAGGGAGGCGCGCCCCACAGGCGCTGTCCCGCTTGGACGGCGCGCTTGGACGGCGCGCTTGGACGGCGCGCTTGGACGGCGAGCGACACTGCTCGGTGGCAGCATACAGGTACCCTTGAAGGGTACCAAGGGTACTGTACTGTGCTGCTGGTGCTGCACTACCAAGGGTACCGTTGCCACAGACATATTTTTCGTGTCTTAACTCTTACATTTCGAGACATTTATGCGAAAAAAACCGAGCACAGGGTTAGCAAGTGGCGTAAAATCACATGATGGCCAAACCAAGGGAATAATAACGTTACCCTGTGACTCGACATCCCTGCAGTATGCCAGCGAGAAGGCTTCGGTGCACTCAACAGAATACAAGTAGGTCGTCCGAAAGTAACGCGAGGGAGATGCGACTAGCGCTCACAGCTTCCATAATACTGTTTGCCGACCACACCTCGCTTACGGATGGTAATATCGCGAGATTCAGCTTCAAAGATCCGAATGGAAGGATTCTTTCAAGAAACATAAGAGATCATGTCCCTGGCCGCCGCCTTATCCTTCTGGGCGTAGGAAAAGTACACATCGCGGGGCGGATGAGGGCCAACTTGGCCCTGCTCCGTCCCGCCATGTCTACTAGACCTGCTCTTTCCCCCACCCTTGAAGGGTGGGGGAAATAACACGTCTAGTTAATGCATCGCGAGCCTTCCTAAAAGTTTCGATATCCTTCGTAATATCGGTCTAGGGTAGTAAGATCTTGACAGAGCGAAGAGACAGGCCCATGCGCATCCAGGCATAAGATACCTCGACGGCAGCTTTCACAAACTGCTTTCTGATGGAGGGCCACAGCAGGGCACCCGACTAAGGGATAAGAACAGACTCGATCCTGACATCACCACCGATGACAGTGGTGAGACATTTGACAAAACAATGTTATCATCACTCGTGAGTTCCTCGCCAGCATCCTCGTAGACCAGTAATCTCTTGTACTCGAAGCCGACCGGACGAGGCCGAGGTATTGGGCGCGATAGCCAACAGTGGTAATGTCTGCGATAAGATGGCTGGCGTTGAGATTCGTTCTCCAAGCTTGGGAGGGAGGGAGATTTTTGCCCTATTAAGAGCAGTGAGTGACGAATCGCGATTGGCTTTGTACACGCCGCGCTCGCGGAGGTAGACGATGAGGAGATCGGTCTCATCGTCTTTGGCAAGACCCTCGCCCGAGCCCGGAAGAAGCCCAATCCTTCCCGTGTAATCTTTGCGGTGAACGTTAATAAAATCATTTCGGTCCAGACCTAGACGCTCAGGGCGGCCATATCTGACGGGAGCGGTGGTAGGATTTGCGGGGGCGTTGGTAGATGGAAAGGTGGCCTTAAAAGGCCACCTTTCCTGTGAAGGGGGTCTGGAACACTGCCCGTGGGCCCCCCTCGAGAAGGCTGATACGGGTGATGCTGGAAAGGATCGCGCATGTGACTGTTGGGGAGTTGGTTCGGAATAGGTGGGGAGCGTGACTTGCGCGGATTGGGGGAAAACGGCACGTTCCGGTGACGGAGGGTCAGGTCGGGTTCCGAAGCCTTGACATCGGGAGGCGAGGCGGAGACGCGCTGATCGTGGACATCCGGAATGATTGGCGAGGGGCGATTGCGATGTTTGCGGCGGGTTCTCTTGACACGGCGACAAGAGAAGGGAGACGAGTGGTGAGAGACTAGGGGTCGGACGAGTGACGGGTGGTACTCAAGCCGCTTCCCATGATGGGTGGGCGGCGTGTAGACGGCGCCAACTGTGAGAACGTGAAACCCTTAAGTCCGTTTATTCCCGCGTTCTCCCTCGTCGTCGTATCTACGTCTACAGGGGGGGTCTCTTAATTAGTGCACTTTTAGTTAGTGCACATTGGACTTTAATGCACCCTCTGATAGCTTGGCACGACTTTGTACAGGTGTACACGTATGTTCACGCGAGCACAATGGTCGTCGCCGTCCGTAGAGAGCGGGTTCCATTCTTTTACAGATCCCAGCAACCTTATGCATCTTCGAACAACTAATCACACAATGAGCACAACTGAACCAGCATCCAGGGCGTCAAGAGCACGCCTTACCCTTTCGCAAAAAGAGGAGGTGCTGCGGCGACTTTCACAGGGTGCTCGGCACGTCGATTTGCAGCGTGATTTCAACTGCTCTCCAAGAACGATATGCAACATCTTGCTAAGCGAGCGTTGAGCCGTGTCTATAGTGAACACACGAAGCGTCAGCGACGGCAGACGCTGGTAACGGAACATTTCGTTGCCCCGTAAACTACTTTTTAGAGAGCCCCTTAGATAATGCACATTGAAGATAGTGCACATAGAATGCGCATGGCACGGGGGTGTACTAATTGAGGGAGTCGCCCGTATATATATTGCTCGGCACTGTAATGTCATCTGTAATGTGCGATCTGACTTGACGACTTGTAGTGTCAGGGTTTGTGCGATCTGACAGGGAGAACCCGGAGTTGTTATGCATGTTTCGCATCACAGGTTTGTCTGTAAAGTGTTTATTGTAATTTGGGATCAGCAACAGATTCATACCAGTCCTGCATGGTGGGTATGTGTGATACGCGCCTCGGGGATAAAAAGGAGGATTGATGTGGCGGGGGAGTATTTGTTAAGAATTTAAAAGTATTCCTGGCAAAACCGGGCAAGGCAAAGCAAAAACCAGCCTGTTAAGAGTCTTAGAGCAAGGCAACCAGTGCGCTAAATTTCGAAATAAGGTTACGGAGAGAAAAAAAACGAATAAACAAACCACCGAACCAATCCATTGACAAACCATCAAACATCCACGATCGGACTCAATTCTCCTATGGAATTACACTGGATATCACTGTCAGTATTATTGACAGTGATATCCAGTGTAATTCCATTATCGACCTATGATGTACATACTGACTGTATGTACATCATAGGTCGATAAACGAATGTGCTTACGTAAACTCGAGATACGTAAAGACGATTCGCCTTCGTGATCACAGGAGATGCTGTACTACTGTACTACAGTCTGTAGTAGTACTGTACAAGTACGCGTACAGCAGTTCCTCGGTATAAGAATATGTCCGGTGGACGGGTTTTCCATTCTTATATAGAGGATATTCTTTAATGAGGATTTGGTCTTACCAACACAGGAGAGTTAAGCTATTACTGTAACTTAAAAAAGTCGTCTATCCTACTCTGGCGACCGGCCGCGGCCTCCTCAGCCTGCAAATCGCGCCTCAGGGGACGTAGGTACCCGTTTCCTTTGGGGATTCGGCCATCCCCAAAGGAAACGGGTGGATTTCCTGCCGTTACTGGTTTCTGAATATTGTACTGGCCCTTATTTTTGTTGTAAAAGTAGCTGGTTCTGTACCAGATTTTTGAAAAATCTTTCTCGTTGTATTCTTGTATAGAGTATGAATAAATGTTCGAAATTGGGGTCAATTTTGCAGGAACGAAAACAGTGGATGCGTTTTGCATTCTTATACCGAGGATATCCTTATATGAGGCATTCTTATAAGGAGGAACTACTGTATAGCATTACAACAATACTGTAGTCAATGAATAAAGCATTTACATCTCCTTCATGTGACCGAGGTCACGTTTTAGCCTGTTCCCAAACCCTTCAGTTCCAGTTCCGATATTAACTTTTCATAGTCCGAGAGCTGCTCCGAGCTATGGTCTATTTGGTGGCCTGGGGAAGCTAGCCTTGCCTTCCTGCGCTTATCACTGACTTCGTTTGCCGGCGCCGCCTTTCTCGGCTCCCCCGGCGTGAATGCGCCCACAACGGCCCAATACCGTAGGTGGACGACAAATGATGACAAATGATACGTCTTCCGCACGAGCCAGAATGTCCGCTCCTATCCGGACCCCGCCTGAGCACAAGGCAACTATCTTCCCTCCCTCCTCGAAGTCTTCCAGTTGCGCCCCGCGTTGTGCATGAATAGCCAACGCCTTAGTTACTACCTCCTTATTCACTTCGTAATCCAGAGTCTCCAGCCTGGTCACGTCGAGGCCTTCGATCGCTCGGTAAGTTTCTCTCGGTCCACTTTCCGTCATCTATTTTCCTCCGTAATTTCGTATGGAGACAACTTGCCGTCACTGCGCCCTGATTCAAGTTGCGCGCCTCGCGTCTCGTCCCTTCCCCCGCCTCTTCCTCCGCCTATGACTCGTCCTGCGGCCGCCCGAGCTGCAACGAGGGTGCCGCTTCGCCTCGACTCAATGGTATTTGTCCTTCTCCCCAGAAGCAGTAGTCCAGCTTTCCCGGCCTCCAAGTATAATCTCCCGTCGTCCTCAGCTGGGAAGAAAGTCTCAAGGTGACATGTATGCTCCCGAGTAACTAATACAGCTGTCAAAGGATGTGTCCGTGGCGTGAGACCACAGTTATACTTCGTCTGGTTCGACATCGCCAGCGACTTTCGCGTGCTTTCCAAGCTAACGGATCTGCAACTTTCCGGTCCCCGCCGCCCCAGGTGCTGGTAAACCAGAGACAACGCGGTGCCAGCTAGCAATACCAGTACCATCAGTCCAACTCCGACTAGGAACAGGGTATTGACTGTTGCGACTGTCTTACTGTCGTACATTCGACTACACTCCCTACTGCCGAGCTCCATACTAATCCAGGTCACACTTGTTTTGGTACCCTCCGCATCACCCCGCAACCATTCTCCTCGTATTTCCCAAGCGTTTTCATTGACTAGAGCTTCGAGCTGCAGCGCTTGAAAGGCGGCTACCGCTTCAAGCTCAGACTTCCACCTACGGGTCCTACATGGATTTCTACTCTCCTCCGGGTTTAGCCCCTTAGCTGCTATACAGATTGTGGACAAAGTCCCGACTCGGTACATTAAAATGTCATACAATCGAGTCGCGACCAGGATTGTACGCTCCCCGGTGAGGGTAATTCCCACCTCCCTCACAGAACTCGAACTTCGAGGTTGGCTCGTTGCACTGGTCAGCTGCAGTAGCACGTCTTGTGGCACATTCACGAATCTCCCATAGTCCACCTGTATTCGGTGAGAACTCAGCGCGGCCAGTTCCTCAGTGGGCAAGTCCCGATCGTGCCTCTTCAAGTACGCAGGCTCCCAACTCGTATCCACGCAGCTAATTTTCCAATCCTCCGGCAGTCCCTGAATCGCTTCGCAGTCAATAAAGAGGACTGATTCTCCCACTGTCTCCACTGCTATTTCTATTCCCCGGTCGGCAAAGAAATTTGAAAACCTGACCAGAAACCGAGCATCTAACAGCAATTCCAGAATTGCCATTGAGTGGTGACCACGCTTGTCGACCTCCTTGAGTATAAACCTCCTATCCCTGTTCGCGAAAATAATGTAATCATCCTTGAAGATGATGGCCCCCGAAAATGCTGAGAACCAGACGCTTTCTTTCTCACCCATGAGGAGCCATTCATGCTCGCCGCTTCCTGCCAAGATGACCTGCCCCCCGGATTGTCCAACATTGCCGGACACCGTGATGAGCTCCTCATCCTCTTCAGAGATGGGTATCGTCCCGTTGTACTCTAGTGAGTAGTATTTCATCGTATACTTGACTATATTGAACGACTCTGTTCTGATTGTGGGCACACTGGCTCCCGTCTTTGATCTCAAGACTTCCATCGGATGCCGCTCGTTTGCCGTCTCAAACCCCGAGGTGACGAGATTTCCAGCAGCTATGTCCTTGCTCCCAGAACCAAATTCCACTAGAATGTCGGCAGCCCCTAAAAGAATGATCGCCACAAATAGCACATACTTGAGAAGCGAGTCTCTGACGTCCTCTTCAGTCACCAGCGAACCCCTAGTATAAGACCGCGATCTGAGTTGCACCTTGTCCCCATTCTTCAACCGATGGCCTGCGCGAGCGGCCACGAAAGTGGTCCACACTCTGGAAATGATCGTCGTGAGGATGAGACTAACTAGGATGAACCGGACTACGTTCCACAGAGGGACCCCTATAGCCAGTTCGATGATCATTGCGAGCGCTTGTGAGAGTAATGGACCTCTGTTTAGACCGAGCCTTAGCCCTATGCAGCGGTTGTTGACGGTCGAAACTGTGGACCGGTCGGGTTTATTTTTTGTAACTCCGCCGATATTAATAGTTAAGGTGTGGGAGAACGGGAACGATGAGGTTAGTAGTAGCCGCGCTCGTCGCACGCAGCGGCGGGGGAAAGGAGTCGCGAGAGCGAGGGGGATGGGGATACTTCGGATGTCGAGTCTCGAGACTTTTCACCGGCGCTGTCGGAGGGCGGTTTCGTTTCGCGACCGATGCGAACCGCAAGTTGCATTCCACGCAAGCTCTCTCGAGCGAAGGTAAGCGGCGGTGAGGAGAAGCCCCGCGCAATAAACGAAGGCACAGTCGCACTCTGTTGGAGAAGGGGAACTGTGACCATGTGACCATACTTTCTCTGCCTTGCCTTGTTCTACCCCCTCGGCAGCAAGTTACCCCCGAGGGTCGGTCGGGATACCGCCCTCGGATTTTAATACAAGGGGTGCCTCGTTAATGAATCCGACTTTAATGAATCCGTTCCAGTAATGAATCTGGGTCGGGGCTTGACTCACCCTTTTATGACAAACCGTATGATAAGAGGTATGATAACGATATGCTTCAATAACAAGGTCAACTGACCACATTCTATTCACATCAAATACTTGTATGTTGAGGAGAGTTGATTTATTACTGCTTTTTAAAAAAATCGATGACACTTTTCTGCTTCTTTTGCGGAGCAGCAGCGTTTCTTTCCGCCGTCGCGACTCGCAAGACATCGACCAGCTTTCCTTGAATGATTTCACTGGCACCCCTCCACTTGGCCTCCTCCACATTATTCCCCATCCATTCCACGTTCGAACAAAGTGCCTTGTAAGACCTTTCCCTTGATAAATTTGCTTCCTCTTCGGCTTTTTTCCTTTCCAAAACAGCGGCTTGGAGTGACCGCTAATGAATCCGTTCCAGTAATGAATCCACCTCATTGGCGCACACGTGGATTCATTAACGAGGCACCATTGTATATCCGGATTTCCCGCCGGCGCGTCGAACGGATAATTTCCCTTTTTCCCAGATTTAGGGCTAAGCAAATAAACTGCAATTTCTATCTTCCCACATAAGGTCTAAAATGAAGGGCTCCTGAAGCCGCCATCTCCCCTCTATCTAGCACACACAAGGTTCTGCTGCGACAACCTCAATACTCTGGGAGCTAGTAACCTTTGAAAAAAACGGCCTTAGTCCGATGTGTGAGTCGGTCCAACGTTCTCAAAAATCATCCCAAAAAGCCACAACATCACACAGTTATCAATGAGAGCCTGGCTTCTCATTGAGGTTTTTGTGAGGTTTTGTGAAAATGTGTGAGAATCTGTGAGATATTTTTAGGGAAATATTTGCATTTTACTGTAGAGGGAGATTTTATTCTGTAGACCGAGATTTTATTTGAATTTTAGAGAAGCGCACGCGTACGGCCCGGCGGAATCCGGGCCGGACGCGTGGACGCTTCTGGAAGGAATTTCATAGAAATAAAAGAGAGAGGGTGACGGGCGCTGCGGGGAGAAAGGGGGGGGACACCACTCGGCGAACCCTCACCACGAACGGCACGCTCCCCAGAACCGCCTCCCCCATTTCACCGACAACATGGTACTCTTGTGGAGGGCCGACGCAGACACAAGTGCGGGCCCTAACCCTGTTACCTACGATGGGTCGAACGGGTCAGATGTTTCCAAGTTTCTGTTCGTATACGAGAACATCATTATGCGCGGCAAGCCTGACGAGGAGAAGGCAGGAGCTATTCTATGTCACCTCGAGGGTGCCGCGTTCGACTATTACTATGAAACGTATAGTCATAATGGGAGTCTGACCGAGGCCGCCAGTAACTGGGACGGTGTGAAGAGCGCCCTGTCTGACCGTTTTACGGAGGCACCGAGGCCAGAAGAAAACATCCAGAAGGCTATGAGTTGCCGACTGGATGGTAAGAACTTGCTTACTTCGATGGATGAAATGGACAAGCTCTACAGGAGGGCTGGTTTCAACGACGAGGCAAAGTACGGCTTGCTTCGCAATGCCGTAATGGCACATTTGGATGTTGCTCAGTTCGCGATCTATCGTTCTCCGACGACGTACGAAGAACTGATGAAGACCGTGAAGGACTTTGCTGCAGGCCGTGACGCCTTCAAGGCGGCGAAAACTGCTGCGCAGTCCGTTGAACCTGTGACGCCCAAGCGCGTACTGGTGCGTTCTGATGTGGATCCTCGACAGGAAAAGCTGGAGAACAAGGTAGACGCCATCACCAACCAGCTGGCGGAACTGTCACTGATGATGAAGAAACGACAGACTTCAGGGGACAGTGATACGAGTTGGACATGTTCCTATTGCAAGGAACCAGGGCATTCAGCGACTCGTTGTCGTTCCAACCCACACCGTGATACTCGTTGCCCAACGTGTGGGAAGATTGGACACACGACGGAGACTTGCTGGTCCCGCTTTGCTAGAAAGAATGTGGCTCATGCACGTCCTCAAGGTAACGCTGGCGCAGGAAGCGCTTATGGCCCCAAAGCAGGCGGTTCTGCCAACGACGCCGGTGACAAGGCCACCAGAGACTCGAAGCAAGTCACGGTCATAACTGAGACCACCAAGGGAGAATTGGTGGCAGCTACGAAACGCAACGCCGAAGGAGAGGCCTTGCCGAAGCAGTCGAAGAACCGTGAAGAAGTTTCGATCCCGAGGCTGCTGAATCCCACTCCAGTAGCTCCTAGGGGAACTATCCCCTGGAATGAGCCGCTGAGAGTGCCGAGAGTGAAGCCTGCACGCCAGAAGAAGAAGAATGTTTCAAAGAAGGCGGCACTCCAGGAGCACGTCGGCAAGTACAACGTCGTGTCAGAGCTGGCGAATGCGCCGTCTGGTCTAACATTTGGACAACTTGTCCGTGGAGACGCTGAAGGAGCAAGGAAGGAGATGAAGCGCCTTCTATCCAGGAGATTGGGGCGTTCTCGCGGGTTTGCGGGCCACACGGATGTCTTCCCGAGGCGTCTTCGGGTAGTTACTGTTCAAGTTTATGGAACTGATGCTCAAGCACTACTGGATTCGGGTGCGGTGCCGAACATCATGTCGCCGCACCTCATGAGGAGACTTTCTCTGACGCCAGAGAGTACGAAGAAACACATCACTGTGGCAGATGGGAAGAGCTCCCCTTGTGTTGGATCACTGCGCCAGGTCCCCGTCTCGTTTGGGGGACTGGTGAGCATGATGGACTTCCTTGTCGTTACGGGAACACCGTACGACGTCATCGTGGGGATGCCGTCGTTAGAGGAGCTCCAAACGTGCATTGATTTGGGGCAACAGCATGTCCAAGTAACTGTGGGTGATGAGACGATTCGACTAAGTCTTGAGATGGATGAAAACCATAAGAAGCCTGGATCCGCTACCGACAGTGAGGACTTCACGTCAGACTCGGGGGCCGTGCCGGCTGACTCGACTGACACGGATGAAGACTTCGTCCTTTCGCTGCGTGAAAGGGTGCCATTTGAACCAGACCTTGCCTGGGCGGGAGCAGTCACTGAGGACGAAGATCCTCATGCTGGACTTCCGGACCTAGCTGGGGAAGGCTCAGAGTACGAGCCGGCGGATGAGAAAGAGAAGAAAGATGAGAAGGAGGAACTTCTCATGTCTAAGCTGAGCCATATCAGCAGAGAGAACGCCGACCGCATAATGTGTTCTATCAAGAGTATGGAAATAGCTGCATGGTCTTCGGACGACCTCAGGCCGGCGGCTGTCCCTGTGTCACATTCGTTTGAGTTAAATGACGACAGACCCATTTCGCACGCCGTTCGGAGGCTCCCTCCGAGACACAACGCGGTAGTGCGTGAGGAGATCGAGAAGATGCAGAAAGCAGGGATCATTACCCCTCTGTAGCCCCTTGGTCGTTTCCGGTCGTCATCGCAACGAAAAAGGACGGGAAAAGTCGCTTCTGTGTTGACTACCGCGGGCTTAACCGCGTGATGAAGGCCGACAAGTGGCCGTTGCCTAAAATGGAAGAGATATTCGACGACCTTGAAGGAAGCAAAGTATTCACTACCCTGGACTTGTTCTCGGATTATTCGCAAGTGTGGATGGCTTCATGGTGCAAAGAACAGACGACCTTTGTCTGTCGGTACGGGACCTTTCAATTTGAAGTGATGCCATTCGGGCTCATGAACGCTCCTTCAACGTTTCAAAGGATGATGGATGGCGTATTAAGAGACCTGCCATTCGTTCGAGTATACCTTGATGACGTGGTCATCTTTTCAAAGTCCTTGGCCGTCCATGTTGGCCACTTAATTGAAGTGTTCGAGCTGATTGCTCGCAGTGGATTGAAGTTGAAGCTTGCGAAGTGTTCCTTCGCGCAATCACAGACCAGGCTATTGCGGCACGTCATCGGAAAGAAAGGGATTGAGGTGGATCCAGAGAAGACATCGATCATTTGGGACACCCCCGAGCCGCGCACCAAGACAGAGTTACGAAGCTTCCTTGGACTAGCGGGGTATTACCGCCGATTTATCCCTAAGTTCGCAGAAGTCTCTGCATCGTTGCATGCTGCTACTTCTACCAAAGTCGAATTTGAATTTACGGAAGAGATGCGGACCGCCTTCCAGGAGTTGAAGAAGAGGGTGACTTCTCCTCCGCTGTTGGCGCTCCCGAAGTTTGACGAACCCTTCGTGGTCGAGACAGATGCATCCAACATGGCAGTGGGAGCAGTTCTGGCTCAGAGGAAGGAAGACAAGAAGGTTCACCCGATACAATACGCCAGCAGGACGATGACGGAGACTGAGAAGAAGTACCCCACCTGTGAGAGAGAGGCGTTAGCGGTGATCTTCGCGCTAAAGAAATTTCGGGTGTATTTGCTCTCAACGCAAAAGTTCAAGTTGATTACGGATCACCAAGCGCTTCAGTATGCGTTCAAAAAGAAGGACATCCACGGTAGACTTGCCCGTTGGTTGGATTTCCTGGCGGAGTACGAATTCGAGATATTGTACCGCCCCGGCTCAAAGAATTGTGCCGCTGACTTTCTCTCGCGTATACGAAAAGACGATGGCAGGCGCGAGGAGGATGAGGGGGACCTGGTATGTGCTGCCGCTTTTGCGAAAGGAGATATACTGGAAGACATGGAACCTCATGTGCGGGACACGTACCGTTATCTCGAAGGAGAAGAGATGGTTGAGCAAGATGCTGCGCAGAGGCGCAGAATCAAGAAGAACTCCAGGCGGTTCCTCGCCTGGAACGGAAGGCTGTTTCGCAGGATGAAGAATGGGATCAGAACAATCCCTTCTCGGGGGACTCGACTGCAGATATTGCGG